TTTACTGTGAAAAAGAAACAAGATGTGGATGTTCACGTGAACTCTCTAACATATGTAAGAAAATCATATATTTTATGTGGATTTCTGCAGCTGCTTTCTTAGTTATTTTAAAATTAGTTTTATCAATCCAAAGGGACATTTCGGTGAGTTTTATCCATACAATTGATCTTGTTTGGATTATGATAATGAGTATACTAGTAAAGAAAAAATTCAATCATTTGCTTTGGTTAGTTGATAAAATCATTTCTCTGATCAATGCTTTTGGTTACCAATCAAGAGTAAAACTTTTCAAGTTCCGAATATATTTTGTTTTTGCTCTTCATTTCACAGTTGTTACCATAAATTTTGGCCGATTAATCACAGATTCGAGTACGAACAATGCGACTTTAATTTATGCAACATTTGGTGATATGAGGTATGGGTCTTTAACAGGTATTTCGAAACTTATGATCCAAATACTGTTAACAGCTATTGGATTATTAAGTTATGCTTTTTTTGAATTAGTAGTAGCAATATCATTTGTTATTTGCTACCTGTCTCTAACGGAGAATCACAGTTTGCTTTCTGCTCAAAACCAATGGCTTAAAGTTCTTTTGAATGTGGACATGTCGTCTAAGATACAGATTCAAATCATAAAAAGGTGCGCAGAGGTCACGAAAATAATCAAAAAAATTCGAAAAGAAGTTTCTACTTTGATTGTTCTACTATTAGGGTATTGGCTTATCGAGATATGTTTTGCTTTAAGTATTGTGCTAAATCCATTTGGCGAAGAATCGCTTCGAATTATGGCATATTATTTTTCTGCAGGGTTATACTTTTATGAATTTATTTTACTGGTAAATGCTGCCGCTAATGTTGACACTAACTTATCCAAAGCCAAGAAACTTGTCATATTAAAGTTTGAAAAGGATGCCTTGTATGAGACTGATACAAAAAAAGTATCGTCATTGAACATGATGCAGTCAGCTTTTGACAGATTCAAGGAAGAAGGCAAATTTGTTGTGCTAGGGATGTTTAAATTAGACAGAAAAATCATCCTAACCTTTGTAGGGTTAATAATCAGCTATGAGATAATTATTCTTCAAATCAGCAAAGAGGAAAACCCTTAAGACTTTTAAGATGAAGTCCTTCTGTGCAATATCATTTGTTATAAACTATCTCTCAGTAAAAAAATTTACAGTTTGCTTCTAGTTCATAACCATTTAAGACGCAAGCATGTGTAAAACACAGCTTCAAATTATAACAAAATATGTGCATACATTAAGATACGTGTATCATTGAGATACATGTTCCTATGTGGAAAAGTTATTGATAAGATTTTTTTCTCTAAAATTTTTGATTAAAAATATCGTTAAGTAGAAAAGGCAATTAAATTAGTGCAGGCGAATTTCTTTTACATGACACAAAATAGTTAAAAAAATTACTGCTTTGAGGTGCAAATAAAAAGCAATCTAAGTGCTTTAATAAAGATGTGCACTTTCATTGTTCTTTGACAGTTTTTTCCCCCAACACAGTGAAGAGATTCAGTTCACGTTAGAAGTTTCTTGTTGCCGGCCGGTATCAAACCAGAAACGTTTGGATCTGCCGCTAAATGTTCTAAGCACAATAATAAAGTATTTGACCTTTTTCATAGTACAGTAGTGAACCGATTATCCGGAACGATTGCTATTCCGGATAACTGATTTTTCCGGTTTTCTGAATGGCTACAAAAAGCCGTTTTTTTATTGTCAAACCCAACTAAAAAAAAATTTTTTTTTGGAAATAATCTTAAAAAGAAGAAAAAACGNTGTGAAGTCGTTTTTTCAGCTTTCGTGGACATTAATTCAAAAAAGAAATAGATTATTGTACGTGGAATCGCATCTCAGACTTAAATTGACCACAAGAGAACCAAATTATGATGAACTGTTATCACAGCAAAAACAATATCATCTTTCTCACTGATGCAAATAAACTTATTAACAAAACTTTATACCAAAAAATAAAAATATTTTTAAAAAAATACATTCATTTTTTTATTAGTGGTACACAGCATTACGAAAAATTTAGAAGGGGTACACAAAAGTCATAAGTTTGGGAATCACTGCTATAATGGATTAATAAAGTTTAGAAATGATATCTTGTATGAGACTGAAACACAAAAAGTATCATCATTGAACATGATGCAGTCAGCTTTCAATAGGTTTAAGGAAGAAGGAAACTTTGTTGTGATTGGAATGCTTGAATTAGATCGAAAAATCATCCCTGCCTTTGTAGGGTTAATCAGTTATGAAATAATTATTCTTTAAGTTAAGTTGTTAAAACCTTTAAAATGAAGTCCTTCTCTGCAATATCATTTGTTATAAACTATGTCTCAATAAAAAAATGTACAGTTTACTTCTAGTTCAAATCCATTTAAGATGCAAGCATGTGTAAAACACAGCTTCAAATTATAACAAAATATGTACATACATTGAGATACGTGTTCCTATGTGGAAAAGTTATTGATAAGATTTTTTTGATTAAAAATATCGTTAAGTAGAAAAGGCAATTAAATTAGTGCAGGCAACTTTCTTTTACATGGCTCAAAATAGTATGAAAAATTACTGCTCTGAGGTGCAAATAAAAGATGTGCACTTTCAATGTTCTTTGACAGTTTTTTCCCCCAACACAGTGAAGAGATTCAGTTCATGTTAGAAGTTTCTTGTCGCCGGCTGGTATCAAACCAGAAACGTTTGGATCTGTCGCTAAATGTTCTAACCACAATAATAAAGTATTTGACCTTTTTCATAGTAGTTAGATCCTCTGGATGCAGAAAGTTTTCCAAATTCTACTGGTTTCTAGAACAGGGTGCGTAGCCAAATTATTCAACAAAAAATAAGCACCTTTTAAGCACTTTTCAAGCACTCAAAAGATATTTTTAAGCACTTTAAAAAAGTATCACAATTCGGCAGGGTCGGGAAGTTTTTGACAATTGACGGTTTTATCTTGTTTCAATTATCATATCAAAAAAGAAAAAAAAAAACTTTTGGCATTGTTTTTGACAATTGTTAAAAATCATGAAGTTTTGAATAATATAAAAAGAATGGCGTTTTCCTACGCTACAGACTGACAATACACCGAAATAGATTGAGGGTGAATAAATTGTGAAAATGTTGAATAGAAAAACGTGAACTGCATCTTTTTGCATAATTCGCAGCTAAAATCAACAAGGTAAAGAAAAACTCTGATTTTGAAAAAGGGAAAATTAAGCACTTTTCAAAAACAGCACCTTTAAGGACTTTTAAAAACGAAAATCGAAAATAAGCACCTTTTAAAAACGCTACGCACCCAGTTACCGCTTTCATACACTACTGTCGAACGGTACGCCGAAATGGATTGTGGTTGAATGAATTGTGAAAACGTTGAATAGAACAAAGTGAAAACCACGCTTTTGCATAATACGTGGTGAAAATCGTCATGGTATAGAAAAAAATATAATTTTCGAAAAGGAAAAATTAAGCACTTTTTAAAAACACCCCATGAAAAACGCACCTTTAAGGGCTTTTAAATAATAAAAATCGAAATAAGCACCTTTAAGTACTTTTTAAAAACGCTACGCAGAATGTAGAACTTGTTGTTTAAAGTCTTAATTATTTGTATGTTTTTTTTTAACTGTAACTAAACCTTTTATTTTTACAAATGTTTGTGCAAATATATCGAAAACTTTTATGTAATAACAATAAAAATTCTAATATACTAGAACAAATTTGTATTTTACTTGTAAACCATTATGGAATATAAAAAGCTTACAAGTGGTAATTATAAATAATAAAAAAAAATTTAATTCTGAAGTTCTTTAAATCTAAAAATTATTATAACAGCATATGAATCTCATTAAAAAGCATATCTATAACTCAAACAATTTTACACTAACTTATCCAGAATTAAAATTTCATAAACAATATCAAGATTATTTTCGTAATATTAAAACAGCTTCTTGCGAAAAAAAACTCAGAGTTTTTAGTAAATGTATAAGGGTTGTGACTTTAGTTATTTTCACACATAGTACAAAAAAAAATTTATTTTTATTTTTTGTTACTACATGACTCCATTTGAGCAGATTTTTATTCTTTAAAAATGCGAAACATTAAAAAATAAGAATGTTTTACATTTTTGAACAAGCTCTGATATTTATTTTTATTTTGACTTTAAACTTAATTTTTTTAAAAATTAATAAATTAAATTAGATTTTCAGAGCAATTGTAAACTAAAAACAAATACCTAAAGTTTATCACTAAACAATATAAAACAGTTTTAATTCGAAAAGAGCTGGTAAGAATACTGCTCTTTAGGTTTTCCTTGTCTAAAACTAATTTTTTATTTCTTCACTTAATTTTTGGATTATTCGTTTGACCATAACGTTACAATATAAGTTTTATTTATATCTATAAACATAAAGTAATTAACAGAAAAAAATGCATTTATTTATCATGTTTTTAAAGTTTTTCCCTCAAATGTTGAGGAAAATATACTAGAAGCCTTAATGAATGGAGCAAAAGTTGGGTACCAGTGTTCTAGAATATAAAAAATTTTAAAACATTGATAAAAAAATGAAAATTGACCCAAGGAAAAGTTGACTTCTTTGTGAACTTTTGTTTTAATGGATTATTCTAAATAAAATTAATTATTACATAAAATTTTAAAAAATTGTTTTAGTACATAAAAAATTTAAGTAATCAATATTATAATTTGGGAGTATGTTGACTTTTTATACTTAATCACTTAAAGAAGTCCTTAGAGATTAAGTATAAAATATACTTTTATACTTCCTCACTAAAATGCTTAGTGGAGGAGATATAAAACAGTGTTAAGTAAGATTGTTAAACAATATAACAGAACTCCTTTGAAAATGCTTAGTGAAAAATTATGTTAAATGGGATTTTCCAGTTTTAAAATGGTCCAGTGAATGGTTAGTAGTGAGTATAGATCATGAAGTAATTGTGCCAAGTTTTTAAAATAGATTTTTGAATAACTGTTCTTGATGAACTAAAAAAGATGTTTTATCAGTATATTTTTGGTGCTACAATACTTTTGACATGATATTTCAGAAGAATGTTTTAACAAAGAATTTTTCAATTAATGAATGATTTTCCAATCATTTTCCCAAAATATACGTAAGTAACATTCAGCTATGAAATTTTAAAGCAAAGAATGATATTCATAAGTTAAAAATGAAAGGTGCTTACCAGCAAACCTAAAAGCAACTGAAAGCATAGTAGATTTCAGTAATGTTTTAACAAAGAGTTATTCAAATAATGAATCCAAATCATTTGCTCAAAATATTAGCAAGTAACAAGCAGCTATGGAATTTCAAATCAAAGAATGACATTCATAAGTTAGAAATGAAAGATGGTTACCAGCAAACCTAAAAGCAACAGAGAGCATAGGACAGTTTCAATAATTAAATTAATACATATTAAAAATAAATACCTTTTTCTGTTTTTAATATACTTTTTTTGTCAATTATATAATCATTTTGAATATTTCAGATTCAATTATCTAAATTTGATTTGGTTGTAATTATTATGAATAGTTGGTGTTCAGAGCTAAAGTTACAGGAGTTTTAAAATTTTTTCAATCAATCAATTCAAAAAAATAAAATACTAAAATGAAAACAAAAACAAATAAATGTAATAGTCTATATATTCCTTAAATGAATGCATATTAAAATTTTTTTAATTGAATTTTTTTGTCAATTATACATTTATTTTGAACGTTTAAGATTCAAGCATCTATATTGGACCTGGTTCTGATTATTCTGAATAGCTGGTGCTCTTAGTAGCTAAAGCTACGAGAGTTTAAAATTGATATTTTTTTGATCAATCAATTAAATATTTAAACGAATAAAATATATATCTTTTTATATTTTTCTAATTATTAAGTTAATAAATACGTACATTTTTTGCCATTAATCTATCCCAGACATTTAAGATTTAGGTATCTGTATTGCACCGGGTTCTAATTATTCTGAGAACTTGCAGTCCTTTGATAGCTAAAGTTACATTAGTTTTGAAGTTAAAATTTTTTTATAAACAATTTAAATAAATGGGAATGGATAAGTGATAGGTTTTTATAAACAAATTTATCAGAAGAACTCATTACAAAAAATAGATTCACAAAACATTTAACACTGAATTATTTAAAATCAGTAGACAAAAACCAATAGAATTAGAGATCAGATAACATGAATGGTGATGAATTGAATATCAAGAGTAGACAAAAGAAGGTGAGAACTAAAATGATATTGAGTAGAACTATTATGAGTGAAATAAAAATAATAAACAAAACATAGAGAGAGGTGAAGTGCTTGGTAATCAACACTCAAAATTCAAATATATAGATTGGACCTGGTTCTAATTATTCTGAATAACTGAGGCAGTTAAGGAGTTAAAAAGACAAGGGTTTCAAAATTTATATTTTTTCATAATCAATTCAAATTAATATAAAGTACTAAAATTATTAAAATGAAAACAATTTCCAAGCAACAAAACTAAATAATAACTATCTTAAACACAAAGAATGTAATAAAGTTTACCATATAATGATTTTTTTCTGTGATTTTCTGGTTTAGTGGGAGATTTTAGGATAAAATTATACTTTAAAGCAAAGTCTGAAAAATAATAAGATAACGAAAAAAAAAATCCAGACTGTGTCTAGCTTGGATTATTTTCAGTTGTGTTTTAGAAACTAAAGATACAAGCTGTTTCAAACTTAAATTTTTTTTTCAATCAATCTAAACGAATATAAGACATTACAATTTTTAGTAAGTATAGTAATAGGAATAGCTTCTACACAAATAATTTTCTTTATTCAAAAATTTTCAACAAAGTATTTGATACAGTTAAATGAAATATTTAGGGATAAAATAAAACTTAAAAGCAAAAAAGCTTATTTTTTTACACATTAAAACATAACAAAGTATTTGATACAGTTAAATGAAATATTTAGGCATAAAATAAAACTTAAAAGCAAAAAAGCTTTTTTTTTACACATTAAAATATGCACATAATCACACATACAAAATAGCATAGCGCTGACATTTTTATATTGTTTAAAATTACAAGAGTTTCACCATTTGCATTAATATCTCAAATTACAAACTAAATAAAATGAATGGGTTAAAATACATTAAAATAGAAAAAAAAGGATTATTTATTTAAATAATGAATTAAATTAAATTATTCCTTTAGATTTTCTAAAAAAAAATTGCTGTATTTGCTGTATGTAGCTTAAAGTCTCTAGCTGTTGGAGTATAGTTCACAACCTTTCATACTTTATCACAGCAGTCTATACTATTAATACTCCAAAAAAAAAATCACAATTAAAAGTTTTGTACTTATTATCACACTAGCTATGAGATTCAACAATGGCATTAAAAAGACAGTTTATTAGGTGATTTAGTTTTCAAATCAAGACTTAAAATCAAGATGCAGGACTGGAATCAACAATTTTTCTACGCTTGCAAGATAAACTAGGCTTTCGTTTTTTGAGTTTAGCACAGCCTTTCCCATACCAGCCCCCGGAAATATTATTTTTATCAAAATTTTTTATAAAATAAGTCCTTGAGTCAATTTTCTGTGCATTTAACTGTAAGAGAGTCGAAGCAGAGGTTACGTCCTGTAGTTTGATACAAGGCACCAGGTTGTGATTCATGCAAATGAGGGCCTTTTCTTTATCTGTTTCTTCTTTCTTAACAGTGTTTAAAACAGAATTTTGCTTTGAACAGTTTTCTTCTTCTCTAATCAGATGCAACCTTGAGCAAGATGAATATTCATGAGGCAGCAGTGGTGTAGCTAAGTTAAAAATAGGGTCTTCTTGTCTAAAGAGGATATAAAAATGTTATTATGGTTACTAAAAAAGTTAACACACTGTTAAATAAAATTGATAATTTTTTTCATCCATTCACAGCACCTACTCTGTAGTTTACATATACTACTTAGTTTAGAAATAAAATTGCTGAATAATACTATACTAAATATCTTAAATTTAAAAAAAAATACAGTCGACAATTTTTAGTATGACCTCCCTCTCCACCATTATTACGATCCTTTCATTACAATGACCAATACACGAAGTCTTAATTTAGATTTAACAGGGTTGCCACTCAAATCTGGAGAAAAAAAATTTGTTTTCCCTGTACATGTTATACACAATATATTAAGAGGAAACAACAATTACTGTGCTCTTGTGTGAGCTATATTGGGCTAACTATATTTATTAGTTTCAATTGCTGGAAAAACAGCTGAACATACTTAAATAATGCTGTAGTAAATGAAATAGTTTAGTATAGCTGAAATATCATGGTTAAATATCCCACAGATTACGCATTGAGTGGTCACCATTTTTTAAAAGACAAAAATAAGAAACAAAATTCCCTGTATTTTCCAGGTTTGTAAAGAAAAAATCAAAATTCCCTGCATTTTCCAAGTAATTTTAGCTAATTTTTAAATTTCCTGTATTTTCCAGGTTTTCCCTGTTCTCCCTGCGGAGTGGCAACCCTGTTTAAACAAGTTAGTTAAATATATATTATTAATTAAGATATTTAAAAAAAAAAACTTATCCAAAGC